CCGAAAATGCCGGCCACTTGGCGGCGCGTGGTTTACACGCGCCTCCACCTTGACATCATTTGACCTATCCAAATCATGGTCCAAGATTGCAATTGTGTCACCCCAGCCCTCTACACCAAAGTGAGCATGGCTAGAGCTTGAAGTACTTGGAGCACAATCATACAATGGTGCATCATCTTCAGCGGCACTGACCAAAAACGTTCCCTGGGTTTCGAAATCGTCATCTAGTAGATGCTGTCGGATTGACTCCAAGAGAGCCCAGTTGGAACTTGTAATGCTTCCCGTTGACATTTTCTGAGTTGTAGATCTGCTTCTTCTTTTTTTCCTCCAGAGTTTGATGATGGTGAGATGAGTTTGATTTCTAAATCTGGATTGTTTGTGAAGTTGGACATATCAGCCTTATCAGGATTTCTATATATACATGGAGATGTGGGGAGAGAGACCCTGTCGTCTTGCTTGTAAATGATGATTATGTTATTATATTGATGTGGTCGTTTCCTTTTTTAGTAGTGGCTAGATTTTCTTCGATCATGCGTGATCGTTGGAGGAGCCCTATATTATCTTAATTTTGATGTTAGATCACTATGTTATTGTAATGGCCCTTTGTGGCTAGTTCATATTGACTATTTGTGGCTAATGGCTTTTTTGGCTGAATTATGAATGCAATCCAAGAATTTCTCAACAAAAAAAAAAAACAATTAGAAGCGTGTGCCAACGGACTGGTATATCTAAAGTAAAAGCAAAACTTATGAATATATTTTTAAACAATCCTGAATGCTCGCTTAACTCTGTTCACGCACACATGAGCTAGCGCTAGTCGTGAAACTAGTTTTCACTAAATAAATAGAAATATTAAAGGATAATTTTTCCGTGATTTCACATTAGCTAGATTAAAATGAAACATGATCAACAAATCTCGAGATGATTTCACGTGAAGTCATTTTTATGGACAATTTTTTAAAGGATATCTCAAATCGAGAGTTCTAGTAGTAGGTATCATCTCAGATCAAACTGCTGTAAAACATGTCCATATATTTATATATCAGGGAAATACAGGTATCGCGCACACACGAACATGAAAAAGGTGCTGCATTGATCTGACTATATTGCCAGGTTCTACACTAAAACAATTTTCTTTACCAGCAAAGGAGATAAGCGTGGAGAAGGACTTTGAAATTACACACTGTTTCTTCTTTAAAATTCTCTCCCTTTTACACACTGTTTCTTCTTTCGTTGAACTCCAGGTTATTCAACATCAGCTGCGTGTTTTTTTCTTCCATCCAAAAGATCTTTGACTTTTTTATTCTTCTTTATTTCTTTTGCAACCACTTGCATGCATGCGTACGTCTAAATATTTGTTCCTTTCAAGGTGTAAATAATCGAGGTTATGTAAATATAATAACATAATTATAGCCAATGGGTTCCCACTTTGCGGTTTCTCCATGTTTAGAATAAATCGCAGAGACTCTTTCGGTTTTATGTGTAGTTTTCACATCTCCTTTTGTGACAGTTTTTCACATCTCCTTTGTGAGAGCTTTCGACCTCTCCTTTGTGAGAGTTTTTATTTTTATTATTATGACTTGATTTTTTCAAGCTTTATCTATTCTTGGTTGTTCTGAGTTTACACTCTTAGTTGGGATGCCTATGCCAAATTTTCTTCGATCATACGTGATCGTTGGAGGAGCCCCAGATTATCTTAATTTTGATGTTAGATCACTATGTTATTGTAATGGCCCTTTGTGGCTAGTTCATATTGACTATTTGTGATGGCTTTTTTGGCTGAATTATGAATGCAATCCAAGAATTTCTCAACAAAAAAAAAAAACAATTAGAAGCGTGTGCCAACGGACTGGTATATCTAAAGTAAAAGCAAAACTTATGAATATATTTTTAAACAATCCTGAATGCTCGCTTAACTCTGTTCACGCACACATGAGCTAGCGCTAGTCGTGAAACTAGTTTTCACTAAATAAATAGAAATATTAAAGGATAATTTTTCCGTGATTTCACATTAGCTAGATTAAAATGAAACATGATCAACAAATCTCGAGATGATTTCACGTGAAGTCATTTTTATGGACAATTTTTTAAAGGATATCTCAAATCGAGAGTTCTAGTAGTAGGTATCATCTCAGATCAAACTGCTGTAAAACATGTCCATATATTTATATATCAGGGAAATACAGGTATCGCGCACACACGAACATGAAAAAGGTGCTGCATTGATCTGGCTATATTGCCAGGTTCTACACTAAAACAATTTTCTTTACCAGCAAAGGAGATAAGCGTGGAGAAGGACTTTGAAATTACACACTGTTTCTTCTTTAAAATTCTCTCCCTTTTACACACTGTTTCTTCTTTCGTTGAACTCCAGGTTATTCAACATCAGCTGCGTGTTTTTTTCTTCCATCCAAAAGATCTTTGACTTTTTTATTCTTCTTTATTTCTTTTGCAACCACTTGCATGCATGCGTACGTCTAAATATTTGTTCCTTTCAAGGTGTAAATAATCGAGGTTATGTAAATATAATAACATAATTATAGCCAATGCGTTCCCACCGGTGGTGGATTCCCCCTTTCCCCTGGCACCCCGGATCGAACCCAACAGGATTTCTTTCTTCCAAAATAACCAAAAAAATATAATTATAAAAGGCCCCTGAGGACATGTTACATGACATCATGTTCCAGTTACCTTAATTAGACTCGATTAATATATACTTTCATGAAAAATTCCATACAATACAAACTACCTGGTCCTTCGTAGTTTTTATTTTATTTTATAAACTTTAATAATACTTTATCAAAAGTTCCTTCATAGTGGGAGTGGTTAGATGTACTAGCTTTAACAATTAAAACTTTGACTTTTTGGGAAAATTATTTACATTGGTTGCTTTTTCATTGTACTAACCAATTAAATTGATTCAGATTGAAACATATGCTCCTTTCAATCACAAGCTACAAGCATTCAACAAAACCAAGGGACAACTAGACTATATAAAAGCATAGATCAAGTAATGAATAGATTAAATTAAAAAAAAATGACGAGTCATCAATAAAATCCTAGCAAATTGCATAAGAAAAAAAATCCCCAAAATTTAACACCCAACCTCTAAATCATAAAAAGTTAACAATAACAATTGAAATTGGAAATTAAACAAAAAGTAAGAGAGAAACTTACTAATATTAAAGAACCCATTGGATATAGATTGATACAGGAGGAGACCTACTACTTCTAAGCTCTCAAGTTCAAATATAAAGTTATAGCTTACATGGATGGGTAATAGAAGAACATGATATTTGATGTGTGGGGGTGCCTTTAGAGATAAAATCTTACGATTGTGATAGGCTAATTTCAACAAAGAGGGGGGGGGACTATTTTTAATTCACTTGGGTTGACTTATAAAATTAATATTAATTTTTTTTATCTCCAAATTTAGCACTGGGCTAGAGTGGCTCTAACCCATGCCTAGATCCGTCCTTGCGTACACATATAAACTAAAAATACAACTTGTCTTTTAAATAAGTTTTAGACAAATCTTTGACGTTTTTTCAAATATAAACTAATCTTCATACTAAATTGTGCAATGTATTTTTCTAATCTCGTAAATCACCAGCGATATGATTCCCAAGGAAACGTTATTTTTTTGAAAAATAAAAATAAAAGTTTCATATCTTATCGTAGTTAGGGAAATTTGTGTGACTAACAAGGGGAATAGTTTTTTTTTTTTAATACAGAAAGAGGAATTTTTTACGCACACACTAAACAGTTTAACTCTTGGGGTAAGTGTAAAGCTTAGTGCTTTATCACTCGAATTGAAATAATTTATATAAATACTCACGTTTTACATATTGAATTGCATTTGTGGGCAGGTGGACATGTGAGCCTCCTCTGTCGAGTCTGAGAGTATGGGCGGCCATGAAGAGGATTATGGGCTTCATGTGGTCAGAGAATCCTTCCATGAAAAGCAAGTTGCTTATCATGATATCCATTATGTCTGTTTCCTAATTCATTCTTCATGAAGACTTTTTTTGACCAAGTAATTACTTGTGTTCTTTTTTCCTCTTTTTTTTTTTTTTTTAAATTATTTAGAATAAGCGATAATAATTATTGATGAGCAAACAAAAGTACAAATCAACTGCTGTGATATGGGTAAATCGTTTCTAATAACCAAACACAACAACCCGTTAAACTTTTTAAAATTTTAAAAAAAAAAAAAACTAAAGAATTGATTGGTTGTGTTTTGTATACCAAAAAAGTTGAAGTCAGAGTCACGTTTGATTGATAGTGTTTTCTACATTAACAAACAGAATATATCGTTTACTATATTGGGAATAGACCTTGTGGAATTCATGCTCTCTTTTATTTTGTTTTTTTCAACATTAAATTATAGTACTAGTTTTTCTTCTCCTCCAGGCTTTAAGTTCACTTTTGGTGCCACTCTATGTTTGAACGCTGATGTGGGGGAAAATTTCAAGTCTCCTCCCCGCCCCCAAAATTTACCACCCAAAGGAAAATCTTGTAATTTTAGTTCTTTTTTCTTTTACTTGGTCCAAATATGTTTGAAAATATAAGTATGTTCTTCGGCTTTATATGAATACGACTACATGATCATACATCAAATAAGTGTAAGGCAGTGTCTCCAATCTGAGACCATGTTAAATTCAACAAGCGCAAGAATATTAACGAAAAACAATCCGTTGACAAACGATATTAGAGGATGGATGATTGAACACATGACTTCGGAAATAAAGATAAAACATTATTATAACCACTTAAGCTAGAAGCTGTTTATTTTGTGAATGCTATTACTTAAAGGGTTTTTATGTCCGAAGAGACGAAATAAATTATGCTTTCATAGAAATATTTCAAAGCAACCCATTAGCTTCCAGCTTTGACCTACTAAGCTTTCAACAGTCTATGCAAAATTTTCAAAATAATACAAAAGTGTATTGCAAGAGATCTAGCAACATAAGATGTTTATATTGACGATTGATATAAATAAATAAAGTCCATTGTTCCGAAGTGACGTTTAGAGCTGACGTCCCACATCCTAGGCAGCGCTGAATCACTCTTGTCTCATGCATTTACAACAATTTGTTTTTATATTTCGAATCTTGATATTAAGCGATGGCTATTGATTTCCTTATTTTATTTTTCTTTTTGACTTGCCATGGATGTAGATCAAGAATGGGAGAGATGTGACAGTGACGTCGAAATAAATTTACAGGGAGGATACAGAAAGTGAAGAGGAAAAGTGTCCATGACTTGAGTAAAACTTATCTGTGCAATTTCCAAATTTCTGTGATCTTCAATTGATGAGATAGCTGATTGGATAGATTTATATAAAATTTTAACGTGAAGAAAGTAAAACTGTTATTAGAATTTTCGTAAAAGTTTGAGGAATTACAATCTTCAAGGGCTTAAAGCCAAAAAGCTTTCGAGTTTAAAGCTCATGTGTTGATACGGCAAAAACCGAGTGAGGCTATAAGGAAGAATTATGATGAGAGGATGTTTGTCAACGGGTTCTAATCAAGGGGGAAATGGTCTTAACTTGCTAAACAGTGGTTTTAGGTTTGAATTCTCATAATACCTTCGCAGTATGTGTGTGAGAAAACCTCCCTCACTAATAAATATCACTTATATCAAAAAATAAATAATGAGAAGATCCTTAATAACCATCCAAATGAACCCAAAGTCTAGAATTAAAAGACAATTAAAATCATGTAAGGTAAAATTCCTCATAAATAAGTTGGGCCACATAAGCTAAGTATGGAAATAAGGCCCAAGAAGCAACTTTTATTTTAGGTTGGATATTTCCATCTGAATTAGGAGTGAAGTATAATTAAAAGGCTGTTGTGGCTCAAGTATGGGCGCTCTGTGGCTGAGCATCTTACTATGGACAAGGAGATATTGCAATGCTGCTTAAGTCCCATGATATCCATGATGTTTTGTTTCATAATTCATTCTTCATGACAACCCTTTTTTACTTACATTAATATCGTCTCCATCTTGCAAATCACAGTTTGACACATGTAAAAATATTTTATTAAAAATACAAAAAGTGAAAATTTTATTAAAATACAAAAAGAGAAAATTGTATGCGTACATGTGAAATAGCGATATATATATATATATATATATTCCTCTTTTTTCCCACTAGCAGTATTTGTGCATTATATATATATATACCAAAATATGAAGAGTTCACGCGTGGTTGATAGTTTTCTTTTTCTATATAGTACAAACGAAACATGTTAATGCTTTGGCACGAAGAATTCATGTTGCTTTTATTTTGATTCATATGTATTATTACTTGTTTTTCTTCTCCTTAATTTAAGTTCATGAACTTTTGGTACATGCCACAGTGAGTTCTTGACGATGCAGTAAAAATTGCAAGTTATGTCCTTCCCATCCCCTAAAATTTACCTCCCCAATCATCTTAATTGTAATTTTTTTTCCTTACTTTCCCATATATATATATATATATCCGTGTCTCTTTATTCTCTTTATTTTTTTTTATAATTCATCTTTTTTCTGGTAGAAGAATTAGGGCCGGCCTTGAGGGTGGGCGGGAAGGGCCATGGTCATGGGAGGGCCCTAAATTTTTTTTAAATATTATATATATTTACTGGTGTCGAACTTAAAAAAAAAACTCACAATGAAATTAAATGAGGAAACACGATTCCTCTTCCTATTAGAAACCCCAACACGCTTCCTTTTTTCCCACACAGCAACGCCTATTCCTAGTTTCTCCATGGAAGAACATGCTATGTATTGCATCCACCGAGCACTTAATCCACAACCATATTATTCTCTGTTTTCACAATCTCTCTTCAATCCATCCATTATTTTTAGTTTCTCTCATCCCTCTTTTCTCATATTGTAATCCTAAGAATCAATCTCTCACTAAGTCGATCCTTCCAAATTTGCTACATAGCTTCCAAATTTGTATCTCATGTTTAAATATTTGAAACATATATCTCAATTACCTTCATATCAAAACCTGCAAATCAACCCTGTGGAATCCTATTTTGACTAATATGCCTTCAAAGTCGAGTTAATTACTTATTGATTGAAAAACGAGCCTAAAAAATAATTTTAATTTTTCATATTTTAGCCATCTCAGAAAGATAACATAGAGAACTTCAATGAAAAATTTAAAGATGGAGAAGACACAACCGAAGTGGCCCGTTTAGGTTAATTAGTCGAAATGAGGATGAACATTTTGCCCTTATGCTGCTTCCTGCTCAAGAACAAGATCAAGTGATGAGCCCTAAATTTCTTCCTTGTAAAAAGAAGGAAAAGAAAATACAACTCTAGCGATAATTTATTTGAAGTTATTTATAGTAATTAACCCCATTTTGCTCCATCTCAAGCTGCCAAGTGATTATCAACCCCACCCTTGCTTAGCTTTGGCTTGGGAGACCCATTATCCGATGAGGACGACGAAGAGGAGAGGTCAAGCGAGCGGCGCCGCTTAGGGGTCACTCGGACGGGCTCCACGTTACTCGAGCCAATCAAGTGAGGAAAATTCAGCTTGGCTTTACAGCCGCGCATCTTAAAAGCGGCTCGATCATAAGCCAGCCCCGCGTCCTCTGGCTTCTCATAAGTCCCAAGCCACACTCTCGCGCCGTTCTTTGCCGGATCCCTTATCTCCGCAGCGAACTTCCCCCACGGCCTCCTTCTCACACCTCTATAATGCCACTCCTCCCTTGGCGGGTGAACAGCACGCGC